GCCAATGACATGCTATAAGGAATCAGCCTCCACAATCTCCTGCAAGGTCTCAAGTAATGACACATTCATCATCGAGCTTGGATCTTCTTTGGTCGAGCATATATGCATAGGCAATGCTTTCGAAGACTTGTAAATGTGCCGAACTTTCTTCCACTTCATGCTTCTTGAGGTGTCATTCTCCACACTTTTCTAGTTGAAAACTGGTTGAGCAAATAAATGGTATAATCCACTGCTTTGGCACAATATTCTTAGGGCAACCTTTTGCTTTTTAGTATGTTTCGGGCCATGTTGAGAATGGTTGCATTTTTTTCTTTCGGCAACACTTTTGCTGAGGGGATCTTAGAACTGTTAGAGACCGACGAATTCCATTGTCTTCAATCCTCTCATCATTCTTTTGTTGGATAGAAACTTCAAATCTTCAAAATTGAGATGCTTGAACCGTATATGCCATATGATGTATCTTTTATACAAGCCTTCAACCATTTTGCAGTATTATTTTGAATATGCAACAAAAATTTAATATTCTTTGTCATTGGTACCTTAGCAATGAAATTATTTTTTCCAATCTTTTAGTGAAATGCCTTTTTCTTTCATATAAATGTCATAATCCTTTTTTCTAAAAGTATATCCAGGCTCAAAATATCAATTTTCACGTAAGGCACATAGTAAACATTTGAAAAAAAATAAATAAAATTGATGATTTTCATCTTCCAAGCGTATAAGATATCACATTTGTCTCTAACTGGAATTTTGGATTTATCTCCAAATATGTCACTCATCAATTCATCAAGTTTCAAGTGTATGTTTTTATTTTCACACGTGATTGCTAGCACAAGATTGGAGGTACCAATGGTTGATTTTCATTCGATCTTCTTTTTTATATGCTGGTAGCAAAGTGAAATCCTGTTCCTTCTCATTTTCTATAAAATTTACTTCTTCAGCTTGATTAGTAGCTCTACATTTCAAGCATAATGTCCATTTTTTTGACAATTTAACACTGTCACACCTCTTCTTTGATTTGTTACTTCTTCCACGATATATTTTTTTAAAATGAATTGTCTACTTTCTTCATGGTTGGATGTTTTATATTCTGTCTTCCTCTTCCTTGGCCTTGGCCACGACAATGACCAGGAGTGCATCATCTTCCTCTTTTAGTCAACGTGAGCCTTGTTTGAAGCACTTGCTCTAAAGTTATTTGCTTTCATTTAAAATATTTGCAAATCCATCATCATCATTGAATGATTGATAGATGAGACACAGAGCTTTCTTGAATCCTTCAACGATTTCCTTTGTCCTTGAGGTATCGTATAGTAGCCTCATCTTTTGGCTCATTGTATTCCATCTCTACACTCTTCCATCTATCTTGCGATTAGAACAATGCATTCATTTTAGTACTCCATCTGTTGTAGTTGCTCTTATCAATTGATAGAACTTGAAAGGGAACCATATCATTTGCCATTTCTTTCAAAAGATCCTATGGGCTCTAATACCACTACTTCTTAGGAAGATGACTGATTTGAATAATGAGGTTGAAGAAGCGTGTTATTGAACTTGTATTATATAATCTCTAAATTGTCCTGTTACAAAAAAAAAAAAAAAAAAAAAAAAAAAATTACCTATATTTATAG